CCCAAGCTGGAGTGCAGTGGCATGGTCATAGTTCACTGCGGTGTTGAGCTCCTGGGCTCAAGGGACCCTCCTGCTTTAGCCTCCCAAGTAGCTGGCACTACAGGTGTAAGCCACCGTGCCAGGCTGAGCACATTTCATTTCAGACTATCCACATTTCAAGGGCTTGATGGTCACATGTAGCTGGTATACTGGGCAGTGTCTTAGTTTTGTGCTACTACAACAGAATACCTGAGACTGAGGAATTTATAAAGAAAAGAAATTCATTTGGCTCATAGTTCTGGAGGCTGGGAAGTCCGGTTCAAGGGGCTGCATCTGGTGGGGGTCTTCTTGCTGTATCATCCCACGGTGGAGGGCAGAAGGGCAAGAGAGCTAGAGAGAGAGAAGAGAAAGAAGCTAAACTCATTCCTTTATCAGGAACATTCTTTTGCAATAACAGCATGAATCCATTCATGAGGGCAGAGGCCTCAGGAAAGATTCCCTCTCTCAACACTGTTGCGTGGAGAATGAAGGTTCCAACATGCGAACTTTAGGGCACACATTCAAACCACAGCAGAGAGTGAGGACCTAGCTTCCTTATTTATTTCACTCAGTGTGAATGTGCATGTGTTTCCTTGCAGAAATTTTCATGTTGGTTTCCTGGGTGCTGTCCCAAACCTTGCTGGGGATGTTGTATGTATGTGTACTACATTATCTTTCTAAAAGCCAAACAATTTTGAATTCAGAAACATACTTGGTTCCAAGGGCTTCAGTTAAGAGATTACAGATCTGTAACAATAATGAAAAGAACACCACTAAAGTGTGTATTTGATGCTCTCTATGTGCAGGTGCTAGGTTAGGGTTTCTCCACCTTTTCATGTCATCATGGCTCTTTTTTCTACCCCTGGAGTGTTTTTAGACATTTTAATCCTGAAAAATCTTTAATAAGAGGCTTATTGAGATACTATTCACGTACCATAAAATTCACCTTTTAAATGTGTACAGTTTCACAGTGGTTTTCAGTATATTCACAAAGTTGTGCAGCCATCGCTGTCTACCTCCGGAATGTTTTTGCCACCGCAAAAAGAAATCCCACGCCCATTCGCAGAAACTCCCTATTCCCCCCTCCCCAGCCTCTGGCAACCATGAATCAACTTTCTGTATCTATGGTTTGACCTATTGTGGATATTTCATATAAATGGAATCATAACAATGCGTGGCCTTTTGTGTCTGGCTTCTCTCACTCAGCGTGATGTTTTCAAGGCTCATCTGTGTTGCAGCACATATCAGTACTTTATTCTTTTTTATGGATGAATAACATTGCCTCCTAGGGAAGCCCCTCCTGCTCTGATGAGCTAAGAGGATGAGGATTATGGAGATGACAGACCAAAAGTAGACAGCTAGGCCAGGTGTGGTGGCTTACACCTCTCATCCCAGCACTTGGAGAGGCCGAGGCCGGCAGATCACTTGAGGTCAGGAGTTCAAGACCAGCCTGGCCAACATGGTGAAACCTGGTCTCTACTAAAAATACAAAAATTAGCTGGGCGTGTTGGCACGCAGCTGTGATCCCAGCTACTTGGGAGGCTGAGGCAAGAGAATCACTTGAACCTGGGAGGCAGAGGTTGCAGTGAGCCGAGACTGCACCCCTGCACTCCAGCCTGGGCGACAGTGAGACTCCATCTCAAAACAAACAAACAAACAAACAAACAAACAAACAAAAAAGGAGACACCTGGGAAACCTTGGGTGGGAGGCTGCGGGAGCTGTGGACAGACCGCACTCCATTCATCACTCATCCGCTGATGAGCCTTTGGGTGGTTTCCACGATTTGATTCTTGTGGACAGTGCTGATATTTGTTTACAAGTTTTTGTTTGGAAACCTGTTTTTCATTCTCCTGGGTGTATACCTGGGAATGCTATTGCTGGGTCATGTGGTAATTCTATGGTGAACCTAATGAGGGACCACCAACTGTTTTCCACAGTGGCTGGGCCAGTTACATGCCCAATGGCCGAAGATGAGGGTTCCTCATGTACTGTCCCATGAAATTTTATTTTACTTATTTATTTTTTTGAGACAGGGTCTCGCTTTGTCACTTAGGCTGGAGTGCAGTGGTGTGATCATAGTTCACTGCAGCCTCGACCTCCCTGGGCTCAGGTGATCCTCCCAGCTCAGTCTCCCGAGTAGCTGGGACTACAGGCACACACCACCACCATTTTTTTTGGTATTCTTTGTAGAGATGGGGTTTCACTGTGGTGCCCAGGCTGGTCTTGAACTCCCGGGCTCAAGTGATGCTTCTGCCTCAGCTTCCCAAAGTGCTGGGATTACAGGCGTGAGCCACTGCTTTCAGCGTTCATGAAATTTTAATACTGCAGATATACTGCAGGCTTGTGTATTGTATCGATATCGGTGCTTTATACATAAAAAGGGTAAGGATGTTTTGCTCCCGAAGAACCATTTCTCTCTCCTTGGGAGCACCACTGGGAACCCAGGTTCCAGGGGAAGCTTGTCATTGTCATTACTTCTGCTAATCCTTGACAACCCCTCAAGCGGGTGCCAACCATCCTGAACAAAATCTGAGGCTCCAAGGGAGATTGAGTGACTTATCCATATGTCCCAATACAGTAACAGCATTACTTTCGTCGGGGAAATACACTGCTGTGTAGGGAATCTGGTGTATGTGCGTGTGTACTACAACTAATAAATCTTGGCCCCAGGGGCTCCTGGGGGTTCCCTGGCCCCCTCTTAGGGAACCGCGTCCCCATCTCGTCCTCTCTCGGCCCACTTCGGAGGCTCGGTCTGCGGCTGCGCACAGCGCGCGGAAGGGCGGTCACGTGACTGTTGCGGGCCCGCCAAAATGGCGGCGTCCTGGTTGGTCTTGCTGGCGCTGTGTCTGCTGTTGCTGCTGCTGCTGCTGGGAGGATGGAAGCGCTGGAGGCGGAGGCGGGCGGCCCGGCATGTAGTAGCCGTGGTGCTGGGCGACGTGGGCCGCAGCCCCCGTATGCAGTACCACGCGCTGTCTTTGGCCATGCACGGCTTCTCGGTGACCCTCCTGGGGTTCTGCAGTGAGTGGCCAAGGGTCTCGGAGGGAGGATGCACTCTCATCCTTTGATGCTCGGTTCTAACCGCCCTGGGGAGTCGAGGCGGCAGTGCTCCTTTTGTCGCCGCCTTTGGGCAGCTCTCCGAGATTGGAGGAGCGGGTTCTGCCCAGCCTTTCCTGGGTGGATCACTAGGTATAGCCGGCGTTAATCTTGCCACGTGTCAGAAATGTGTTAAGTGAATCCATTGCGTGGTCTCACGTAATTCTCCTAGTAAGTGGAACCCAGGTGCGTGGGACTCCAGGGCTAGTGCTGGTAGCTACGTCTGTGTGCAGCTACCTTTGTCGAGCTATGTCTGGGTTGACAGGGTATCTTATTCCTCATCCCTCAGCGCAGAGCTTTGCAGAGAAATGTTTCGTTTGTTCTTCATGTCCATCTTTTACCCACAGTGTGCAGGGCAGCGGTGTCTGCTCCTTCATTATTCTCCATGTTGGTGTCTTGAGAGGGTAGCTCAACCCCATCTCAGGGAGAAGTGGGAATAGCACTAGTTGCCTTTAATCCTTGTTTAGAGTCTGCTAGGGTGATGGGGTAGAGTGGGACTTCCTAGGGATGGCTCTGTGGTGGGAAAATTCCACTATCTAGAGAATCTAGATTAGTTTAATTGAGCACGTACTGTTTGCCAGGCATCGTGTGAAGTGAAGGTAGGTAAGATTCAGGCCCTCTCTCTGTGGGCTATCTAGAGGAATCTGAACAAGAATTGGCCGCATTCTCTGTTCTGGCTAGTGAGGAACAGAGCGAGGTTTTGAAATATTTTACTTTCCAAAACACTCTTCGTGTGTGATTCAGCCTGAGTTGGGAGATTATCTGACTTTAGATTGCTGCTTCTGGTACATTAAAGGGATCATTCTCATTTTCAGACTCCAAACCCCATGATGAGCTCCTGCAGAACAACAGAATTCAGATTGTGGGGCTGACAGAACTTCAGAGTCTTGCAGGTAGGATGCAGTCAACTCCAGAATCCTCTGAATCCGTGGCCTGGGGGCAGGGGGTGTTTGTTTGAAAAGCCTTGCAGATTGCCAGACGCTCCTTTGGTAGTCACAGGTGTTTTCTGACTTGCAGTTGGGCCCCGAGTTTTCCAGTACGGAGTCAAAGTTGTATTTCAGGCTATGTACTTGCTGTGGAAGTTGATGTGGAGGGAGCCAGGTGACTATATCTTTCTCCAGGTGTGTATCAGCCTCTGCCTCCCTCTGTGAGAACCATGTTAATGGTTTATTTTCCAGCACAAATTAGTAATATATTGCATATTCATATGTGTGTGTGTGTATAAAAGTTTAAAGATGTGAGTCTTTAAACATGCACAAATTGGTAATAAATTGCATATTCTTATGTGTGTGTGTGTGTGTTGTGTGTATAGGCGTTTAAAGACATGAGTAGGAGCCTATGGTACGTGTCTATTTATGGCACCTGTCCATGCTGTCTGTGTCATTACAGTCTTACATTGTACTGACTGTGTATCTAAGTGTTTTCCAGGTATTAACTCATTTAGTCCTCACAGTAACCCTAAGAAGTATTACATTTAGGTAATATAAGAACCTGTTTCTTAAGGTTGTTCTCATTTAGATGAGAAAACCTAGACCCAGAAAGGCTCTGTAAGTAGGCCATCGCCATACAGCTAGGAAGTGGTGGCATCAGGGGATTTGAACGTAGGTAGTCAGTCTGGTTCTGTAGTATATATATACACACATATATGTATACACACACACATACACACACACACATATTTTTTGAGACAGAGTTTCGCTCTTGTCGCCCAGGCTGGAGTGTAATGGCGTGATCTTGGCTTACTGCAACTTCTGCCTCCTGGGTTCAAGCTATTCTCCTGCCTCAGCCTCCTGAGTAGGTGGGATTACAGGTGTC